ACTGTAGTTTTGAATGTCCACAGCTGGTTGCCCCCGTCCTGAGGTCATCCTCAGACAGCCGTCATCTTGTTCTTCAGTGATCAGCGTCCTCCTCCAGTGACCTTACCAGTAGAATCCAGCAGTGATGTAAAGGCTTCAGTGAGAAAAGCTCCACGTCTGTTCATCGCTTCAGTGTTCAGGCGTCGCTGTCAGCGCTGTTATTGTTATATAACAACCATTTTCCTGCTGTTTGCCCATAAAGGGCTGCTTCTCCCTCCACGTCCCCTCTGAGCGTCTGAATGCCTGCACTGTGCTCCGGCCTCGGCTCTCTGAAAAGGCCCGACCCGCCAAGCGCTCGCTGGCTCCACGCTGCTTCTTATGTGCCATGGCACATTCAGGCAGCCTCTGGAGGCCGGCGGGCTCCGTCTGCCTGCTGGATCCATTACATTCATAAAGTGATAGGGGGTCTGAGTGTATTTGGCTTGGCAGTCCTGCATTTGCTTCCTGCCATGTTCGCTGAAGCAATGTGTCAGTTTACCTCCAGCATCCATGATGCGATGCCTGATGTGAGCGCAGCTTTGCAGGAGTTTTTTTTGGGGGGGGGGCAGGTTTTCTCTGCTCAGCATCTTCTGAGGGTCAAGATTTGTAAAAGTCATCAGTGATCAATGTGAATTTGGAAGCCAAACTGCATGTTGATGCTGGAGCCGATAAGCAGCGTGAAGGCCATACATCACCGCATTTAGTGGACGGCTCGTGTAATATCCTGCTGCCAGGGAGCAGCTCAGATCAACCCGCTTCACTGGGAGAACCAAAGAGGCAGAATATGTTTCATTTCCTCCTTTTCTTCTTCAGGTATAATTTGTAACCATGTAAAGCGACTTAAAACAGAGATTCACAAACTTTCTTTTTTAGGAGCAAGTGAATCACATGAGCTCAAGCACCAGATCATCCTACACCGTCTGTAGAAGTCTGATTAACGGCATGTTAAGAAAACACAGTGACCAAGTAGATTTGTGTCTGGACTATAAAAAAATACAAATTAGAAATTAATTCTTTAAAACTGTGAAAATGATGGAAAACATCAGTAAGATAATTTTTTTAGCAGATTTACTTTCACTTTACAATATAATTTTTACATCTCACATTTTTTGTTAGCAACAAATTGTTTTTTGTAAAAATACAGATTGTATGTGACACATGCAGTCTGAGCATATATGTTTTTAATAGGTCAACATTTAAATAAAACGTTTTCTGTGATTTTACTAGATATTAATCTGTGAATTAACCAAAAGATGATATTGTTTAAATCCTTTCTAATCCCTAATATATCAACTTTTTCTTTCAAATAATTGAAAACAATCATGTTTTCTTTTATTTTAATACAGCAAAAAATAAATATGTAAATAAATAAATAGATGAATAAATTTGGAAAAATAGTCTGATCTTACATAAAAAAAAAAATATTGTAAAAGAGCACATTACAATTTGTGCAATTTGTTGTTGTAAATATTGTCTGTACTTAAATAAAACTTAAAATATCTCATAAAAAAATCATTTTTAAAAATTACATTTAAGTTCTAATATGCATATTTTTCTTTGAAAACAACAGCAAATATGTGTGAAATATTTACATAAAAGTAAAAAATAAAAAAAATAAAAGTGTGATTTTTGCAGTCAAACATTGTAAAAAAAAATAAAAAAATAAATAAAAATAAAATAAAATAAAATAAAATTGCTGAGATTCTAGGAGCTCAATAAACTACCAGAGAGGGACTTTAAACCGTTATGTTGACTTAGATTGGAGTACAGTCAGCATCATATTTGGTAGATTACTGGTTATTGTGACAGCCAGTTGAAGAAAGATCAGCCTCCTTCCAATTTAAAATCCT